ATTATATTTAAAAAAAGCTGGTATGTGGAGGTCGCTCTGCTGTACATTAGGTTACAATTGGGTCACTGAAATGGATGGTGTTAAGTTTGAATTCAACGGTAAAAGATCATTGTATACGAAAAATGATTCTGGGCGAAGACGGTCTGTCAGTCTATAATATTACTTAATAATTTAGTATATTCCATGATATTATTGTGATTAAAGTAATTTATTTTACTAGTAAGTATTAGTACGCTACACGCAGTAAATTAAATTCATTAACAAAAAAGTACATTTAAAAAGTCATTGTGGGTATAAAATATAATAATATACTTTAAAAGTTTCAAGTACCCACGAATAATATTTTTAATTTATATTTTAATTTATAACCAAATAACATAAATCATTATTCTTGGCAATTGAATCTTTAATTTAGTTCACATTTGAACATAAAAAATCTGTGATAATATTTTTTTGATTTTTTAACAACAGAATAACTTACTTGCTTATAGAACTTTGTTTTGAATACCAACCCTAACCTACAAAAATTGAATATTTCAAAAATCTTAAATTATAAAATTATTTGTACATTTTAAATGAAGTGAATTTTGTTAAAATTTAAACTTTAAATTAGTTTAAATGCTCGTTACAAAAATCGTACCTATATGTATTTTAAATATTTTTAAATTAATATTGTAAATATATATCAGGAGAATTTAATTGAATTTTCAAGCTTTTTTTCCCAACAAATGAAATTTTATGAACAATTAATATTTTATTAACATTTTATTAACATCCTGAAAAAAAACAAAACAAACTGAAAAAATTCAAAATTCAAATTGTTTGTAAACAGCAAAATTGTATTAAGTATATGAATTAAAAATATAAACAAATTATGTGAATTTAAAATATCTGCAATTATTGGTTTTTTATTATAAAAAAATAAGTGAAAATCACTACATAAGAAATGGAGTGAATATCCAATGTTGTCAAAATTTAAATATCAAATGCATATACAATTTTAATTCGACTTTCCGGTAGAATTCTTTTTGTTTTTTGGTAAAGGCAGACAAACTTATAAGGAATCTTGTATTAAGTTTTAAAAACTTAGATATAAAAGGAAACATTTTAATGAATTTCTAACTCAAAATATTGTGCACATTTTCGTGACTTTTACTTATTTTGTCAAAATTCAATAATTCAAAGTTCAAACTCTAAAAAAAATGTGTTGTCAAAATTGTATGGTTTATAGAAATCGCCGTTATAAATATTCAGAAAAAATTTCATGTATACCTACGGGTTTTTTTTTCTTTAGAAAGTTACATCAAAAACCAAAATCGATTTTGTCGAAAACCGGGTTTCCGTAAAAATTCGCTTTTTTCCTTAATTTCTTTGTTTGTTTTTCCTGCCACTTTTGAAAACTATTGAGAATTTTTTACTTTTGACCCCTCGAAGTACCGATACTATTCACATTTCTACCAGAAAAGATTCTTGTTTTAGAATATCTAAGCACTTTTACTCTCCCAAATTAACGTGATGACAGAAACAAAATTAATAAATTGTAAAATCAATACATTCATCGCTCCGCTCGGAATCTAAAAGAAGTTAAAAAGTTAAAATTTACATAACTTTAATTTTTAACTCGTATACACCCAGGTTTGAATAACTACAAAATTTTAGAATATATGAACGCCTGTGTCCATTTATTTCATTACTATTTATTATATTATATCAAGATCCCTGTACTAGTATAAAAGTATATTTTTCATAATCACTCGTACGGGGTGATTACTTTTTACTTTTTAGGATAGTGAGTTTACCACTCTGTGAACATTTTTTTTTTTGGATACAACTATAATATAATGTAATATTAATATATTATAATAGAACAATGAAATATATATAATACTAAATTAATAGTGTCCTGTAACAGCTAACTTTGAATTTAAAAAAAATTATAGGTTATAAATTAAAATTGTGTCTTATTATGAGTAATTACTTATAATGGGTATTTCTAAATTAAACCGTATAATGGATGTCTATTTCAAGTACTTAAAAATAGGTTAAAATTATAAAATTACCCTACGATCAGGGAGCCGAAAAACGACGACGACGAGCGGCGTTTGTGTATTAAGTATTTGATCTCTCGTATTTTATGCATTTGCTCTCAGAAATAAAATAATATGTGTGTACATAGGGGTAGTATATTTTTCATGAAATTAAATTCTTCTTTAAAAAATAAATTTAAGCACCAAAAAAGTATGAAACCAAAATTAATTACTTTAAACATCGACGCTTTCGGCCGGCTTTGGCAGAATTCCTGGAATTGTGTGTGCACTGCGGAATAAATCAGATATACGACTGAACTTAAGTCTGAAGATATTGAGATTTATTATGAAAAAAAAAACCGTACGGATCGCTTCATGTTTCTTGTTCATGTCTGCAGCTTTGCTAACTGAAATTTTAGATCGATTGCGTCTTTGCAACTACTTCCACAATCGCCACGGATTGCATTATAATTTATACTACGTCAATATGATAAAACCATAGATATATAGTATATTACAAAATTGTACATCAAGGAGGTCCGTGCTTGAGATTTGAACATTAAGATAATGAAATGGGGTATAACAATAACCAAAATAGTTTATAATTTTAAAATTTAAATTACAACAATGTATAAAGTACCTATTATTTTAATTTTTAATTTAATAATTAATTAAGGTGGTGTTTAAATATTTGAATCACAAGCATATTTTTTTATGAGTTATTAAATAAAAATCTTATTGTAAATAAATGTGGTTACTACTTTTTAGATTTGACATAAAGTTATTCAGTGCCCAATGCATCACATTTACCGTACATCGACTATAGCAACTAATTCCAAGTTAAATCTTTTCTCTGAATGCTGTCGAGCACGAAATTAATAATTAATATTTTATGTATTAATTTTGAATGCATTGGTTAGGTACATTTTAAGCTATTCGAGAATATTTAAAAATTAAAATTTCCTTATTTAATTTCCGATGGATATTCAATAATCAGCAGAGCGACTTTCCAGCTTTATAAAATAATTTGATGTTTGATGTACGACGGCGTCACTTTGATTCGCGGTTCGACCACAAGCAGGCGGCATAGTAACATTCATATATTTCTCAACATTTATGTAAACTAAAAATAAAAATTGTTGAATTTTGCGGGACATAAGAAAATGTACTGTACTACTGTAGTATGACTAGTATTGTACACTATTTATATCTATTTAATTGTATAAATATGTTATTATTCTGCGACCTGGATATGCCGTCGTCGTTTGTGCTATAAGCGTATTTTGATGCGCGCTCGGGAACAAAAAATATGCCCCTACTTTACCCGGGTAGCAAATTGTCTGCAGACAATAAATTTTAATTTTGAGACCAAAAAGTAAAATATGTAAGCCCCAAAAGAATAGGTAATCAAACTTACGTATGCTCTTCGTATATCGACTGTTCGGAGAATATATAGCTGCAAGGACATATCTGGAGTCCAGACGCCATATCGAGGAACTTCTTTCTTCATCTAAATCCGAACTAAAAAAATCGAGATTTTTTATAAAAATTACTTGAGTAGAATGAAATATGTGAGCAAATGTTTATTGTTGCCTTTCACATTTCTCTTTTGTTCAATGAAATTATTAGAATTGTGAATCGTCTCCGACGAGTGACGACGATCGGCTTTTGTCATAGATGCGATTGATGATGGATATTGTAATATAATATGTTGTTATCAGTTTTCGAGTTTTTTAATTCTTTGGATGACACGATACATTTTTTATTTCAGATCCCGAAACATAATATTATTCGGAGTGTTTAAATCTAAACAATTCAGGACAAGGAACTCTGCGTTTAGATACACTACTGTCGCGAGTCCATTTTTTTGTCCGGCATCTCACAATATTGTTTTTAGTCTTAACGGTTAAACTATAACTTAATATAAAACTCTAGAAGTGTCGAGACATGAAAAAAATTCAAAATTAAGCTTTGAAATTTACAGAAGTAATAAAAAAATAGATTCTTTAATCGGAAATATTTATCGGCATTAATATGTTATCAAACAATATTATTCTATAATAGTGTACAGTATTTGCTAAAAAATTGTGTGATTATATTATACTACTACACTATAGTGTAATAAATAATGTAATATATATACAGCCGTGTAGGTATCTAACTAAAACTCTCACATAAAGGTAAGTGACGGGAGAAAAAACTTCATAACCAAGGTTCGGGACTTGTAGCATTTGCATACTTTTTTTATTTATTGTAAAATGTCGCAGAGTGCGAAAAAAATTCATACCAAATCTAAAATTTGAATATGCATATTTTGCATAGTTCATACATTTTGCCGGAAACCACATATTTTTACGTTATTGTGCTTAATTTGTATATTTTGGAAAAATTTTCGACATTTCAACTTCACAAATTTCCCCCGATCTAAAAAAAAAATAGTAATGCAGCTTACTCGCAGTCTTATGTATCTACTTGCTATATACAACTCACAACTCCTTATAATTTTCGTGGTTTGAAAGTGTGCCATCCGCTGTTGATACTTTTTCTGAAATTAGTATCAGGTTTTCCAATTTCATCGTTAAGTATTTCTAGAATATAATCAAACTTGTCGGTACTCATTCGTGTACAATTTCTAAATTTACATTCATCATTTCGAAGTTCATGAATAAAACATTTAATTGTATTATTTTCAGTTCGTTTCAAGTTCAAAGGATAAACCGAAAGTTTTTTTTTATTTTCTTCCAGTTCAATTTCTCTTAAAAGAAACCATAAAATAGGAATAGCAATATCCTCCTCGTCGGACGACATTTTGATGACTACTTGATATATTTTTATTTGACTAACTATGTTTTATCTAGTGAGCGACAACAATGCTTTATTATGACTAAAGCAAAATGACTAAATATGACTTACATTTCTTCAGTCAATTTTGCTTTACCAGTGTGCGGTCACCCTAACTATTACCTGCCGACTTTAGACATTTGGCATTTTTTTTTGAGATAAAAGATTGGACACATACTAGTTGCGGACAAATTATTTTAGGTCAATATTATAACATAACAATTGCGGACACGCGTTTCGTTGTCATAATACTAATTGCGTACAGAGATTATTTTTAATAAAAACCACGTGAGTTGCGGACACAAATATTTCCCTTCACTACTTTTCAGGACTTAGGACAAGCTACCAAAAAATTGGTAGGTGAGGTTAAAAATATGTGTGTCTTGCAAAAATGCAATCGTTATTTTTAAAATTATTTAAAGTTACTATATTATATTATTATTTAAAGATTTAAATTTTGTAGCAAAAATTTTTTTGATACATCCTGTATAAATGCTATTCTATTTATTTCACCACTTGAATATTGCAACATTTTCTTGCTAATAAATTCCTCCTTGTCTACAGTTTGTTTTGCTCGTTTTAAATTTCGTACAGCAGTACAATTCATTTTAGTATAACTACTAGTCTGTACTTCATTTAAGGCCTCGATCAATTGGTATATATTAGGGTGACTACGATAAAACATACCATTAAGTTTAGCATGAAAACTTTCACATGCGTTTGTGGTTCGTGAAATAGAAGAAGAAAATTCTGCCCATATTTCTGGAGGAAACATTGCAGAATCAGTATTTATATAGTTCAAAAAAACATAATCTACAAAATCGTTTATAGCAGTACAGTCAGCCGGCATCGTAGACATTAAGTCATCTGTAAAGCAGTCATCCACTTCGTTTGGTGACAAAAACAGTAGACCAAAAAATGTTTTTAAAAAGTTCCCCTTTTCACCTTCAGTACTATATACTTTAGCTAGACCTAATGACTGCATTTTTCGGTACCAAGCTTGTCCGAGATGGAACCGACACCCTTTTATTTTGCTCATTGGCCATACTAGACGAACAGCTGAGTGGATAGATTGTTCAAAATCAATATGAAAAGTGGTTGGTAGTAGTGGTGAACGCTGTTTCAAAAACTCGAGTGCTGTACAATAATCAGTAACTGATTTTCCCATCAATAAACAAAAAAATAATGGTACGTAAATATTATTTTTTACGCCATGAACCACGAACAATTGATTAAACAGAGATGGACAGCTTGAAAAAGTACCATCCATCAAAACAGCATCACACTTTTTAAAAAAATTTAAATTTTTAATTGTAGAGAAGCACACAACACCTTTATTATTGTCAATGTCAATAATCCATTTTTCACCTCCATTGGTGTGTAATTTATCTACTACGTCGGGAACCATCGCATAAAATTCCAAAAGTGTTTTAGGTAATATTGGATACTTACTCATACGAGCAGTGTGAATATTTTTTCGGATTAAATTTATATCCTTTGAGTCTAATATATTTAAATCATCTGATGTAATCTCAGAATGTATAATTTTGCTGGGACGTTCACATAGCTGCTCTACCGCTTTACGTTTGACACTGTTACTTAATTTCTGCCGCACAAGTGATCGTTTCTCATCGGCCGCGTGATTATTATGTTCAAGATTATTGTCTATTTCAACACCATGTGTATCAAATTTTAAAAATGCATTACACCTTTTATTTGTACACGCCCACCGTTGAATTTCATTTTTCATTATGCGATGAAAACGGAACTTAAAACCGTCAACCACACGTAACTCTTTAAGTTTTTCACTATACATTTTTATACAAAAAAATTGGAAATAAACGAACAGAAAGACGACACTACGACAGATAAGCAAGCGAGTAAGGTTGTCGATAAATTGATTAAACATATTTTTTGACAGTCGTTTCAAAAGCGCCTGCACAATCTTATATGCTGATAAATAATATATATATATATATATACATCGTTAATATTGAACAGTAATTTCCCAACGTCCACAATCGTTAATATCAAAAATAAAAATTGGACATTTGTCCGCAATTCGTATCTTATATTTGTGTCCGCAATTCGTATGTTACCTACCTTTTTAGATTTTGTCCGCAACTCACATGGTTTTTGTCACTTTGTCCGCAATTCGGAAACACCGAAAAGATTAAAAATTTTTTTCGTTTTTTTTTCTTAATAAATTTAAAATGGCCATTTTTTTTTTGTTCAAAAATGACCAAATTGTGTCGAAAATTATTATGCTAAATTATATAAAAAAAATTTTTTTTCAAAATGTACACTTTGTGTCATGTTACATATTTTCGGCTATAAAATAAAAATATTGTTACTAAACAAGATATTGTTTTTTTTTTCGTACTAAGAGGGAAGCATTTGTATTTGTATTTATTTTAACAAAATAATGGGCTTCGATGAATACTTATATGCTTGTCAGAATGTCAGCTCGTGTGAAGATGTAGGAAAATTATAATTTATATACTTGCAAGTACCCACTGATAATATTTTTAAATTACATCAAAATAACTAAAATTAATATTTTTCATTCAAATACATCAAATTTCGTTCAAATGCCTATGAACTTGAAATATCTATCAAAATAAAAACTGCAGGGTTCGGGAATTTTTTAGTTACACCATGAATTACTTATGAAAAACCTAGTTTTTTAAATTGAACATTGCTACATTTTGAACCACAAAATGTTTTTCAAATTTTCGTGATTTTCATAAATATTGTCAAAATTTTAGTTTTTTATATGCTTCAAAGAAAAAAAAACCTTGTAGCGTAAGTACAGTTCTCCCACTCTCGACATTCTAAATTTCTTCGCCAAATTGTATTTCAGAAACCACAATGTATGTTGAAGATTAAAGTATAATTTCATTTTTTAACATCATTGTAAAACCAATATTATGTATTCCTTGATCTGCGAATGTACATCTCAACAATGTAGCCGAGCCTAATCCAACCAACCTATTTTAGTTTTGCGGAAATGAGTAGAGGAAGTATTATGTAGGTACTTGATACAGAATGTTTATGTTTGCGTTTTTGTGGATTGTATTATGATTATTATGAATAGTTGTTTGCATCATACTAATGTCTGTTGGACCGGTCGCTTTTTATTTATAATAAATAACGATCATTTGAATGTTGACGCACAGCCAAGGGCGACTTTTGTTATAAAAATATTTTATCGTATATACTTTGTGTGACTGGATAAAATTTAATGATTTAGTTACCTTAGTGTTTTGCTTATTTTGTGGTAGAAAACTTAAAACCATAAATCATAATCCTTGTAACCTTAAGACATGTGGTAGTGTTAGTGTAACATAACACAAATAGCAATATGTATACTTTATTCCAAAAACTGTATAATACAGCCGGTGGAGCACATGAGGCCCGCTTTGAAAAATATTGGGCCACTATACTCGTTCACGGTCCACTCAACTAAAGTTTTAAATAGGTACATAATGTCATAATTATAAATTATGATAAAAATATATTTTTTTTAAATGCATACTTTTGGAGATGAGGAGTCATGACTCATGAGTGATATTCAAATACTTATGCTCGAATGAATTGCCGATTTCCCATTGCCCAGTGGCCAGTATGAACCTATATATTATAGGCATTATAATAAATTATGAATGTGTCAAAAACACAAAACCGATAAAATTTAAGTTACGAAGTGTCGCCAACGGGAGACTTCTTTCTATATCATGTCTCACCAATCTCCACGTCTATAATATGAATGGTACCTAATAATATTATTTACCACTTAAAATTCAAACGTTTTTATTGCAAAACAAAAACAATAGATAAAATAATTAAACAAACGGAAAATAACGTATGTAACATGCACCAGACAATTGCTTAGTGCATAAAGATCCTACTCCATACGATATGTTGACATGTTGTATGTAAGTCCATATGTGGCATGAGTATTTACATATTGTGTACATACTACATCGACGATTTGTCACACTTATATTACACGTGTACAGTCGTTTCGCGTCTATAGGAAACACGTGATGAAGATACCGTATACAAGATGATTTGTAGGTCATGTTCACTTCCATTTTTTTTCGTCTAGTTTACTCACAAATTATGATTGAATTTTGCAAAATTGATAAGAGGATAATTTTTTTGAACATTCTAACGCACGTACATCGAAATTCTAGAGTAGTTTTTGAGTTGTTACATTTTATGTACTTACAGAACATAATAAGCCCAAACGCACGATCAAAAATAATTATAATATTAAAAGTTTTGAGTACCTACTATATATAGTTATAAAATAGATTTATAGACTTATAGTATCTAATATCTACACACAAAAGACACCGACTTAGGAATTAGGATACCTGCATGTGTTTAATAAATAGTAACTTGGAAAGTAGGTAAGTAGGCGATTCAAAGTTCCTTTTCAAAAAAAAAATCAACTCCTTATTATATTAGTTATCTAATAATAAAAAATATTGGTCTAGTATAAGAAGTTTTTATCACCCAAGACAGTTCTAAGGGTACATAATATGTAGGTATTTTTTCCAAAAAATATATGTACCTAATTATACCTATTTAAAAAAATTAATTAAAATACATACATTTATTGAGCAAACAACTTCCATTTGTTACCTATCTTCATCATCAGTTATTATATTTGTGACAAAGTAATTAATATTAATTAATAAATGTATTAATTACCCATTTGGTACTTAAAGGTACCCACTAATAGTTTTATTTTTTTAATTCAAGACTCAAGTATTCTGCATCGAAAATGTAGGTCATTAATTTAAATATGATAAGGTTTAATTTTTAATTTTTCAAACAGGCATTACTGCATTAAGAATGTACTTATAGAAATGTATCAAAAATTACCATTTAAAATTTTACGTATATATATTTTAAGTACAATAGGTACATGCTATAGGCACGCGTGGCTAAATGCGAGAACACCTACAAATGTACCCATAATAATAGTGATGAAGTGGTCTATATTAAGTGCAAATGTGCAATTAACTGCAACTGTGAAATATATTTGTATTGTTGTACATTATACATATATGTATGTATAATAAATTATAAGCAGCCGACGTCTTTTTACATATTTTATGTGCGTGGAGCGTAGGTACTTAAAAAGTGTAGGTAGACAGAAGCGGAAAAGCACACTCACGCATCATACACATTTTTATAATTTATTGCTGTTGTGCTTGAAGAATATAAATGAACAAAAATTGTGAGCACTAAACAGCGATCGTCTGTCGCTATACCACTCACTTAAAACAATTTTTTCATGAAATAAAACCTAATGATATATAGTGTGACTTACTATATTCTAAAAATATACATTTAGTACGAACAGGTAAGTAGTATTCATAAGCCAAGATGGGTCGGTCCTTCATCTGGAAAAGAATCGATTTACCATCTAAATGCTTCGATATAACACCTAACCGTCGACAGAATTACGAGTTAAGGTAAATGTAGCTGCCTTATTTTAATAACTGACGAGTAGGTGCCTATCAATGCCACTGCCTAAGTGGCCAAGTACCATGTACGACTACGTATGCACGTCTACGATTTTTAGCTGATCAATACATTTTTCGGGCAGTTCCTTATATGAAATCATTTTCCTCCCTCCCACAGAAAGTGCTGAATTCAATTTTAATTTACAAATCAACCCAAAATCAGTTGACAATCAACTGCCTCAAAGAGTATAATTATACCGTCTAGATGAAACATCAAATGTCTTAAGCCCTATCGCTAAATCCCCGTGCAACCTTCGTTATTTAATAATTACGTCGTCTCCCTGATTCTCTCCTGATGCAAATAAAAATATCATCGTCTACATAATCAATTGTAGTTAAACAATACACAAACTAGGTACACATAGGTATCTGCAACAAAGCCTGGGTTTGAATGAATCTCAGTGTGCGCTTGGTAAATATTTTAGGGAATAATATGTGGTCGACCTTCCACTCCACACCGATCATAATATATAATACATATACCACAATCTGATGTTTTATATTTTTAATAGGTACCTAACATTATGTTGTTGAGTCGTCTACAAACAGTCACTCATCCAGTGTAGATGCGCGTCATAATCTCAATGATCTAAGAACGCATATTATGAGTCTTTAAAATATAAACATTAGGTAGAATCGATGAGACGACCTCGTGTCCAAACCGCACACAACAAAAATATTTTTCATATAGGTAATACATATTAGGTACTTACAAGTTATAACTTGTAATAATATGCATATTATCTACAAGTAGGTAACCACTTTTTTTTACAAAACGAATAATTCATAATTATCTCTGCTTAAACGGTAACAAACACCCGTAGACAGACTATAGATTTTGTGGCTGTTTGCTGTCTGTGAACGATTGGCAGCTATTTACCCACGGCTACGTTTCCCGTGAAAAATAAACATAATAAAAATAACAAAAATTTGAAAGATGTAAAAATTTAATGCAATGGCGCATATATTATAATAGTTTTAATGTTATTAATTATATTAATATTATTATCGTTTAAAGAGACAAATAAATAATAATATACATCTTAAAATTGTACGTAAAAAAGTTACTGACATGTCTACTAAAAGTTACGTTAGGCGGGTCATCGTCTTCGTATGCAGAAGGGGGTGGTGGGACATAGGAGTATAAAGTACAGAGGTTCCCTGACCGACATACACACGAGCGAGATCACACACGCACACACACACACGCACACACACACACACACACTAGTTAAACTATAGTCGTATTGTTGTTCAAGTGTTGAATACATAT